ACTCGCGACCGATCGTGTATCCCAAGTAAAAATGTATTTAGTAGAGTAAATTTCAAGACTAGTAGCTAGATAGTAATGACTAGACAAGTTTTCTAGGCAGTCATCAGCTCGTGACTGACTAAATATTCCTACTCAGTCTTTTGAATGTCAGGACTATCTAGTAACTATACCAATTACATACCAGGTGTATACCTATGAAATGCGGATTTTCCTAACAGATGGTGCCACATATACGTTCTTACGCGTGGTGATTTGACATATATAGTATTTTGTTTGGCTATTTCTAACCTACAAAACCATACATGTGGAAAATTGTGAGAGTGTAAATATCATAATCTTTTCCTGCTTTAAAAATGTCGAATTTCGTACCAAAAAAAGAGGGAAAAACCTCCTCCATTTGCGGGAGGTTTTGATTTATTACTTCATTTTGAAGAAAACTGCTGCTCAAACTTATCGAATATTTGTAGAAGCTTATGACGAACATGCACCATCTCAAGACACTTGTGAACGTTGGTTCAATCGATTCAAAACTGATGATTTTGATGTAAAAGACAAGGCTAAAGAAAAACTACCGAAAAAATGTTAAGATGCAGTGTTGCAAACATTGTCGGACGAAGGCTCCACTCAAACTCAATTACAATTGGCAGAAGTATTAAATATGACTCAAAAAAGTGTTAGCGAGCGTTTGCACGCGATGAGAAAGATTCAAAAAGAAGGAAAATGGGTACCACACGATTTGACTGAAAGACAGATGGAGAATCGAAAAGTCACCAGCGAACTCCTGTTGAAAAGACATCAACGGAAGAGTTTTCTGTATCGAATCGTCACAAGTGATGAAAAATGGATATATTTCGAGAATCCCAAACGAAGAAAATCCAGGCCAACTATCAATATCGACTGCAAGACCAAATCGCTTCGGAATGAAGACAATGCTCTGTGTTTGATGGAATCAAAAGGGTGTTGTTTATTATGAACTTTTCAAATCTGGTGAAACAGTTAATGCTGCTCGCTACCGACAACAAATGATCAATTTGAACCATGCATTGATCACAAAACGTCCGGAATGGACCCAAAGACATGGAAAAGTGATTTTACTACGTGACAATGCGCCGACCCACACCACAAAAGTTGTCAAGGAAACTTTAAAAGAATTGAATTGGGATGTGCTACCTCACCCGCCGTATTCGCCGGACATTACTCCTTCGGACTATCACTTATTCCGGTCGATGGCGCACGGATTGGCTGAGCAGTACTTCGTTAATTTCGAAGAAATGAAAAAATGGGTCGATTCATGGTTTATTTCGAAAGATGAAAGTTTCTATCGTCGCGAAATCCATCTTTTGCCAAAAAAAAAGTTGTAGCGTCGAATGGCGCATACTTCAAATAAATAGCTTTAACCATTCACTTCAAATTAACATGTGTTTTTTCTTAAAAAATCCGCATTTCATAGGTATTCACCTGCTAGATAGTAGCTAGATGAAAAAGATTACGAGATAGAACGAGATAAAAGTATCGAGATAGTAACGAGATAGAAAATCATCGGTAAATCCTGAATAGAAATTGGATATCAGAACTCTCTAGTAACTGTACCAATTATAGTTACAAGTTACATTTTTGTATCCAGCTATTAGATAATTTTTCTAGTACAGCCACTAGGAGAATTGAGCGTTACATTCCTAACTAGTAGCGATGTAAGACCCAACTTTTTAGTGTCATTACTAGACAATAACTAGATTCAATTTTTGCTCGGGATACTTACGCGACGACTTTAGTTGAACACAGGCATGATTCCTCGTTCGACTATAACGGCTGAACGAATGCGATTCTGGGTAGGCATAACCCCTTCGCTGGCACGTTCATTGCACTGTTTGTGCCTCGGTGGGCAGAGAAAAAAGTCGGAGGATTTTTTTGAAACTTGGTGTACAGAAAGTTTTTGGGTCGCTGAATGATTTTGAGGTCAGAATTGTAAAATTCAAAATGGCGGCAAAGTACTTACTATACTTATGCTTGTGGTGTATTGCTTCTGGTATGTTTTTTGTAGTGTCATGATATTGGATATTATAAACCTTAGAATTATGAGTTTTTAAACGAAATCAACGAATCTCCGAAAGTCTTTATAATGAGTTTCAAAAGACTGTGCATTTTTCGAATTTATGATCCGTCATATTCGATCCATCATATTGGGTCCGCCATTTTGAATTTTACAATTCTGACCTCAAAATCGTATTCAGCGACCCCAAAAACCCCTCTATACCAAGTTTTAATAAAATCAACAAGATGTTTTATGTTTTGAACATAACGATCCGCCATATTGGATTCACCATTTTGAATTTTACTATTCTGACTTCAAAATCGTATTCAAAGAATACCCAAAAACCCCTATATACAAAATATGACAAAATTTGCATCATTGAATCGCAAAATAAATGCATGACGTCAATTGGCGTCATTGCGCATCTGAGCACGTTTCTCTTTGACGCCAATTGGCGTCATTATCAGCGAAGGGGTTAATCGATTCTTTGGGTTTACATTACTTAATAAAACTGTTTTTACTTTTACTCTACATGCTCTAGAAGCTGCGATACTTTAACTCAAAGTCCGAAATCGTAAATTTATACGTGAGAAACGTCGTTGTCTCTTCATTACAAAAACCTCAGTTGACTATATTCCTCCGCTAGAGGCGCTACGGTTGAAATCAGCTTGGCTAGCCGATATAAGAGAGAGAGAGAGAGAGAGAGAGAGAGAGAGAGAGAGAGAGAGAGAGAGAGGAGAGAGAGAGAAAGAGAGAGAGAGAGAGAGAGAATTTTTTATAAAAATGAATTATTCTGAAATAAAATTTATAGAACTTGTTTTTTAGGTATACCTAAATATTTACAATGTCCAAGTTTAACATATAAAGTTATTAACAAAAAAACTTGTTTGCACTGATGAATATTATTTTGTAAGAAAAATGTGACATAAAAACAAAATTACATTTTTAAAAAAGTATAAATAAGAAGCCAAGTGCACGCATGTTAGCATTATTTGTCTTTACAAAAAAAGATCGTTATAAATAAATTACAACAAAAAAGCTCAGTTAAGGGGATGCTGAAGTGAATGACGAACTCGCTAAGCGTCGATAACGTAGAGGCGATCGTCAAATAGGCGCTGACATAATGCCGCTATTTTCTTTTTTTCATGTATGCATCATTTCTACATATAGATATATGAATGCAAGTGTGTGTGCTACGTTGTCATTTCAATTTTCTTACACATAGACGTTAAGTAAATGTGAATGCCACGTTGCCGATATTCGCATTCTCTTGGAAATAGGCTTTCGCTGCTTTTCTGATGAATTCTTCAAACCGTCTGTGTATTGGGTGAATCAAAGAAAGAGTTTTTTTTAGAAAAGTTCTACGCATAAATGCAGTTTACGAATATTGTTTTGAAGAATATGTTATATAAGATGTGAGCTTTCTATATAATTTGCAATGGAAATTTTAGATATTATTTTAGTTATGCACTGAGCAATGTTTCACTATATTTTCGCACGTAATTTTATCTTATAAATTGGAGCAGTAAGTGCGCTGTAATTTTTGCAAAAGGAAATCAGTGTCACGATGGCAAAAGTTCCACATCGTTTTCATTTCTGAGTGAGAAATGATCTACTTCATTTTTTAATATATTTTCACCATACAAAAGCATTTTAATTCGGTCAAGTCAATACAAAGTAATATTTGTAGGAAAATCTCGTTGACGTGATATCGACACCCTTGCAAAACTTTCGTCGTGCTGATTGTACTAAATCAAAAACCCTTTGATATGGTGAAAATACGTGCAAAAATAAAGCGGAGCATTCCTCAATATGAGAGAAAAACGATAAGAAAATGCTATCATAACAAAATTAGCGAATTCTTCTGCAAAGATTACTTCTTTCTATATACGCTGAGTTAAAAATCCTTTTACATGATGAAAGTATGTGCGTAAATGAAGCGGAGCGTTCCTCAATATGAGAGGAAAACGATAAGGAATGATTACTATCATGACACCGAATCTTTCTGTAAAGATTAGTCTTTTCTACATGCGCCGAGTTAAAAACCTTTTTGCATGGTGAAAGTGAAGCGAGGCATTCCTCAATATGAGAGGAAAACGATAAGAGACAGTTACTATCATGACACTGAATCTTTCTGCAAAGATTAGTTCTCTCTACATGCGTATTGACTTGATCGAATTAAAAATACTTTTGTATGGTGAAGGTACATGCAAAAATGAAATAGAGCATTCCTCACTCAGGGATGAAAACGATGTAGAACTATTGCTATTGTGACACTGATTTCCTTTTGCAAAAATTACAGCGCAATTACTGCTCCAATTTATATGATAAAATTGGATGCGAATATATAGTGAAATATTGAATTTTAATTTCCATTGAAAATTATATAGAAAGCTCACATATTAGATAACATGTATTTTTCAAAACAAGTGCTTTTTATGCAAGTTATTATAATTTTTTTCAACATTATTTTAAGTTATAATTTTTTTCAACATTATTGTATTTCACTAATTATTTTATTTTTTATTTAATAATATGTTACTAATATATTAATAATATATTTAATTTATAAATATATTATATAGCCAAAACCACATATGTTTATAAAAATAAAAACTGAAATGATTAATTATTCGTACTTGGCGTAAACCTCTTGATATCATTACTTTTGTAAAGAATATAAAATTGTCTTGTATTTTTCAATAGAGTATTTGCGAGAATACAATTGATCTGAATAACGTTGTTTTAATAATATTTCTTTTAATATTTTTTTTAACTGAGCTTTTGTTGTAATTATAACGATCTTTTTTTGTAAAGTATATAACGACAAAGAAAAGTGAATATTGCCGTTTCAGCTATCGGAAAAGCGTCGCAAGCTCTAGTTTCACCGAAGGAAACATAAAACGAGGCAAAAAAGAACGCGAGTTAAGTATTGCTCTTTTAATGTCGCGTCTTGCGCGTTACTTACGTCTATAGCTCTCCTGAGGAATATGACGCCGCTGCTGCTGTCGATCTCGAAATACTCCCCATCACCTATGTTCTCTGGTCCCAGAAAGTAATGCACGGTGGCATTTTCACCATCGTCGATGTCGGTGGCGGAGATTCTCATAACTTCGTAATTGACGGGCAAGTTTTGCGGTACGGATCCCGTGTACTCCTATATGTGTAACAATAGCAAAATGCATTAAACAGAGGGGTGTGCGTAGTGGCCAATTGATGGCCTGCCGCCGTGTGATTTTCAAAATGCACTTAGCGTGATACATTCTATGCAATTTCCGAATGAATTGTGCTCACAATGCCTTGTCATTCTTAATATATTACGTATGTACATGATAATTTTGCTGTTCAACACGGAAGATAGTGAATGGGAAATGTGACGGATGGTCATTGTTCTAGAACTACGATCATCTCTCGTGGCGGTTATTATCGATCGACGAGAAGTTTTTCTTATCTGTGTATTATGGACTTGCGGATTTCTCCAGTCGGCTTGCAGAGAGTCGCGCGGTAAAATACGTAGGTATCTTTTCAAGCGCGTACAAGAAATCTCGTTCGACATGTGGAAATTAAGTAATAGTTAATTTCGCGAAGTACACGCAAACTGCTCGTAAAAAGGAAAATGGAAAAAAGGGACAATAAAGGAATGTGAGATACTCGTTTCATTTACATCGAGCAACATACACACACCACAAATACAAGACCAATTTTTCACGTGTATCCACGAAAGACCTAAAATTGGAGTAAAACAAAAAAAGAGAGAAATTGAAGCAGTATTTGTTAGTAGCGGTAGTGTATAGGATCGAGTGACGGTAACGCCGGTACGTTAGTCTATTAAAAAAAAAAAGGATATCTCACGTGTGGTACAACCATACGCGGTGCCACCATAATTCCACGACACGCGGGGTTTACTCATTCATGAAATCAATTACGCACGCAACATATGCAGAACGGAACGGAGCACGTGTCGACACGTTCTCCAGCTTCAAATTAACTTTATTCGTTTCCGCAAACGCATAGGATTTTCAAAAAATATTCCATTGCTCGCGTACACGCGCGATTTTTCACGGAGATTGTTTGTCTCCTTCGGAATTATCTTCATTTTAATTAGTCTCCATTTTTTCTTTAATTCAATAAATTACAGAAAGGAGACATCTCACTCACTCTCTCTCTCTCTCTCTCTCTCTCTCTCTCTCCCTCTCTCTTCCTCCTCTCTCTCTCTCTTTCTCCTCCCGCTTTATCCCCTGGCAAAGCCGTAAAAGAAAAGAGAAAAAGGAGATACGAAAAAAGTAGAAAAAGAAACTGTGCTGATCCGTCTGACTTCTGCCTCTTTTCATTCTTTAGATCGGTTACGACTCTAATGCCCGCGTAATTGCCACGTATGCATAATGCAGGCCACGTATCGATACGCGCGCACTCGGCTCCTTTTGTAGAAGCAATGACCCGCGATCGGGATCTAACGATCCGTACACGTATTAACAAGTTGACAAATCAGAGCTTAGTTTAAATGAGTTACGTACCGATTTATCGAAGACGGGCTTGTTGTCGTTGATGTCTGTGATGGTAACCTTAAATGTGCATATGTCGTACAGTTTCGGGCTGCCGTTGTCGGTGGCGAGCACCGTGAGATAGAACTCCATCTCTCTGGAGGGCTCATCCCTGTTTATGAACGCGATCGTCGTGATCTCGCCGGTTATATTATTGATCTCGAATTTCAACTTCTCGTGGGGCGCAGACACGAATTTGTACGTGACGGTACCTGCGGCAAGCCAGAAAATAGGCGATCAAGCAGACAACGTGGATTAACGACCTATTGTCGTCATTGGATCCTCGCTGCCTCGCTATTTACCGCGTGCACACGAAAATAGAGAGTCTATTTGAGTATAAGTCCATTTGTGTGAGAGAGTGTGTCTCTTATCAGCTAATAACGTAGCAAGTAAGATATTCCCGTTTGACTATCTATTTTCGACTTCCCTCTGTTTCCAATCTCGTTATCGATCTGGTTATTAGATTTCGTTCTATTCTCGGGGCAACTCTTCGAAATGTATCGGAAACAATGGAATCTAATTAAAAATAAACTCCGTCGCACAACCGTGCGCGCTTCGCTTCTCTCGTTCGTCCCGACGACGAATGCGATGTCGTGATATCTCGAGGGTCGTAAAGAGGCTGCAATTTGAATCTCGTGCGAGTTTGATTGATTTCTTCTCCTTTGTTGCACGCATGCTTTGCAAGGATATTTCACAAATAATTTGTACATGGGAAAGAAAATTTGCTTGTAAATTGACCGAGTGTCTGGTGAAATATGAACGGACCAGAAAAGTCTGGTAGAAGTTACCAAGGTTCCGTTCGAGTTAATAGATTTCCGGTTTTATCAGAACTTGGAACGGTTTAAGTGGACTTAGAGCGGAATTTCTGGTTGGTGATACGATACCTCCATTTTCCGGCGGGTCCGGGTCCTCGGCGTGCACCCGAAATACATAGGTGCCGATCAGCACTTCTTCCTCCACCGATGGCGCGTAATTCGCGCAATCAGTGAACACCGGCTTGTAGTTGTAATTATCATCGAGCTGAAAGCGTAAGAGAAACGGACGACTATTAGCGAGAATGTTACTCGGCTCGGGGGGATAAGATAGCGAGCGAAAGATATCTTGGAGATTAATCGGTAAACTTGGTACCTCGTTCTGGAGCGACGGCCGATACAACGTGAATTTTAATATTCAATTAATGAAAAGTGTTTTATTCGCCGACAGATCGTCGCAATTGTAAAAGTCGATGGAATTAATCGCTATCCCAGTGAGAAATGACTCATCGATCGATTGACGAGTTATTTCTCGCTGGATGAAACATCGACAGAATACGAACGGTGTACCGTGCGAAAACATGGATTGCGTCTCGACTTGCTGCTGCTGCGCGAAACTTTAATTCCGCATTCGTCTAAGGGAAGAGAGAGTGGGGGGGGGG